ATTGTCTAGTCTATAGTCTAGTCTATAGTCTAGTCCATAGTCTAGTCTATAGTCTAGTCCATAGTCTAGTCTATAGTCTAGTCTATAGTCTGGTCTATAGTCTGGTCTATAGAGTAATCTATAGTCTAGTCTATAGTCTAGTCTAGGGATATAACTATAATATTTTATAAAAAAATATTATTCAAATTTAAGAACACTTAAAACAAATTTATTATAATTTCTAAAAATTTAACTAAAAGTATGCTTCATGTTTTTTTTTCAATTTCATGATAAAAATAGCCTTTAAGTAGTCTATGTTGTTTATTACTTTTTGTCCCCCAATAATATCAAAGTAATTTCCATAAATAATACTGAAACATAAATAAAAAATATGTAAATAAACAATTTGTGTGTTAGGTTTCAGAATATAGCCTAAAAGTATACTGTGTTTTTAGAGCTTATATTTAAATAAAATTAATCATAACTAAAAAAAATTTAGCTTTAATATAGTGAAATTTTTTTTCAAAATAAAATTTCCAATAAAATTAAAAAAGTAGGCTAAAAGTAGGCTTTAGTGTTCTATAAATAGCTGTCAAAAGTAGTGGGTGTTTAAGGATTTAACTTAATATTTTTAATATGCCACTACATACCTTAAGGTGTTGGCTGTTAATTTTTAGAAATTTTTTTAATAACTTGCTGTTGCTTTTATGTAGAATAATAATTCTGTGTTTGCTTTTGTGTTGAAAACAATAATGCTTTGGCCGAAAAGTATGCTTTACTTTTCATTTTAGTTTTAATAATAGTAAATATGTATAGAAATATTTAATATTAAATGAAAATTTAATTTAATTAAAATAAACAATAAGAAGAAAATACCTAAAAACTTTGCAGAAATTTAATCATTAAATAATAGCAAACTTCAAAGCATAGTTTTAGGTGTCAAATAAAAGAGTTATAAGGAATATAAGTAAAAAGCCTTTAGGTTATGAAGTTGTTAGAACAAAAAAAAAATTTAATAAAAAATTTTCTAAATTCTTTAAGTTTTAACAATAATTTTAGAGAATTATTTTAAATTTTCTTAAAAATTCTCTTATTTGTTTTATTATTTATTCTGCATAAAACCCATTTAAATTCCTATTTAAAAATTGAAAAATTTACATAAAATCCTAGCACTTGAAATACAAATACACATAAAAAAACAAAATATTTTATTTCCTGGAAAATTTCCATTAAAAACTCCAAACATGTCCTTTAAATAATCATAATAATAACGGTGCTGGTATGCAGACAAATACAGACATTTTTATGTTATTTTAAAATTCATGACACTATGACACAATGAAATCAACAACAGCAGCAGCATCAACAGCACCATAACAATTTCCGAATTGTGTATCTATTAAAGTATACTTTTAGGCTTAAGCGTAGATAATAAATGATGCTGGTTAAACAACAAACAAAAAATGAAAACCGACAAGAAAGTATTTTTAGCAGAATTTACTACGCAAACAGCAATAACAACAACAACAAACAGTAGTAAATATAGAAAAGCTTTATATTAACGTGGCCTTTTAAATAACTAAACATGCTTAAACATGTTTAGATTTGATTAAACCTGATAAAAATGAAAATTTATAGGCTTATGTATAAACAAATTTCATGTTGAATTTATTAAAGTCTTAAAGAGAGATAAATTAACATATTTTGTTAGCAATTCAGCACAAATTCAAATTTAAGCTTTAATAAAGCTCGTTATTTACTAATAAAGCATACATTCTTGCTTTAAAAGGTTAAGCTTAGTAGAAAAAAACAATGTCTATTTTAAGGCGTTTTATTAATAACAAAGATATTTCCCTGATTTCAAAAGGTTAATAGATTTATAAAGTTAACAACAACTAGCAAAGTTCCTTTACAATATTGTGATTGTTGTAGGAAAAAATTCCAAAACTTTTAGCATACTTAAAGGCTTTTAAACCATCGTTAAGTATTAAGGTTAAAAACTTAAAACATAAATCATTGAATTCTTCCGCCCCTTCTACCTAAAGATAAGTAGTAGTAAGTTCTCTTTGTAATTTTGGGGTTTTGTAGGTTTTTCTTAGGAAATAAATTTAAATTATGACAAATTTTCTTGTTAAAAACTCCTATACATTTCCTTTTTAAACAATTTCAAATTGTTACGACAGTTAAGCAGGTAAATATTTTAGGGTTTTTAAGTGGAAATATTTATATGTATCAATGTTATAACTGATAACAGTTATAGAAATTCAAAGGAAAAATATAAATTTAAATAAAAAAATTTCTTTGAAAGCTAAATATTAAAAAATAAAAATAAAATTTTCAGAAATCTTTAAATTTTGTTTCAAGTTTTAAAAAAATTGTATTAAAAGAATTTAAAAATTATTTTAATTATTAACAGCTTCTGTTGTTTTCTCTACAAAATTAAAAAATTTGTTTGAGTTTTTTAAGTTTTAAAATATTTTAATTAATTTTGAAAATTTTACTAAAAAATTTAAAAAAATGATCAATTTAAAATTTAAAAAAATGATAAGCCAGTAACGAGCGTTAAACTCATTATCTGAAGGGGACCTTATATGGGGGGTAGTGTCATTTATGGGCCGATCCTCAAAATAAATTGGTAGAGACATTTTGGGTCGCATAAAACTAATGTTATTTTTCAATTTAAAAGTGTTTTAACGAAGTTATTAGCGAATTAAGTTTTCTAAGGTTTCCGAACAAAAAAATCGATTTTTGTGGGAAAATATGGGTGATCACAAAATAAGCTTATTTTTCAATTTAAACGTGTTTTAACGAAGTTATAAGCGATTTTAGTTTTCTAAGGTTTTCGACCAAAAAAAAATCGATTTTTAGAGGAAAATATGGGTGATCACAAAATAAGCTTATTTTTCAATTTAAACGTGTTTTAAGGAAGTTATAAGCGATTTTAATTTTCTAAGGTTTTCGAACTAAAAAATCGATTTTTAGGGGAAAATATGGGTGATCACAAAATAAGCTTATTTTTCAATTTAAACGTGTTTTAACGAAGTTATAAGCGATTTTAGTTTTCTAAAGTTTTCGAACAAAAAATCTATTTTTAGGGAAAAATATGGGTGATCACAAAATAAGCTTACTTTTCAATTTAAACGTGTTTTAAAGAAGTTATAAGCGAATTTAGTTTTCTAAGGTTTCCGAACAAAAAAATCGATTTTTGTGGGAAAATATGGGTGATCACAAAATAAGCTTATTTTTCAATTTAAATGTGTTTTAACGAAGTTATAAGCGATTTTAGTTTTCTAAGGTTTTCGACCAAAAAAAATCGATTTTTGGGGGAAAATATGGGTGATCACAAAATAAGCTTATTTTTCTATTTAAACGTGTTTAAACAAAGTTATAAGCGATTTTAGTTTTCTAAGGTTTTCGAACAAAAAAATCGATTTTTGGGGGAAAATATGGGTGATCACAAAATAAGCTTATTTTTCAATTTAAATGTGTTTTAACGAAGTTATTAACGATTTTAGTTTTCTAAGGTTTTCGAACTAAAAAATCGATTTCTGGGGGAAAATATGGGTGATCACAAAATAAGCTTATTTTTCAATTTAAACGTGTTTTAACGAAGTTATAAGCGATTTTAGTTTTCTAAGGTTTTCGACCAAAAAAATCGATTTTTGGGGGAAAATATGGATGATCACAAAATAAGCTTATTTTTCAATTTAAACGTGTTTTAACGAAGTTATTAGCGATTTTAGTTTTCTAAGGTTTAAGCCTATTTTTCAATTTAAACGTGTTTTAACGAAGTTATAAGCGATTTTAGTTTTCTAAGGTTTTTGAACTAAAAAATCGATTTTTGTGAGAAAATATGGGTGATCACAAAATAAGCTTATTTTTCAATTTAAACGTTTTTTAACGAAGTTATAAGCGATTTTAGTTTTCTAAGGTTTCCGAACAAAAAAATCGATTTTTAGGGGAAAATATGGGTGATCACAAAATAAGCTTATTTTTCAATTAAAACGTGTTTTAACGAAGTTATAAGCGATTTTAGTCTTCTAAGGTTTTCGAATAAAAAAATCGGTTTTTGGAGGAAAATATGTGTGATCACAAAATAAGCTTATTTTTCAATTTAAATGTGTTTTAACGAAGTTATAAGCGATTTTAGTTTTCAAAGGTTTCCGACCAAAAAAAATCGATTTTTGGGGGAAAATATGGGTGATAAGCTTATTTTTCAATTTAAATGTGTTTTAACGAAGTTATAAGCGATTTTAGTTTTCAAAGGTTTTCGAACAAAAAAATCGATTTTTGTGGGAAAATATGGGTGATCACAAAATAAGCTTATTTTTCAATTTAAATGTGTTTTAACGAAGTTATAAGCGATTTTAGTTTTCTAAGGTTTTCGAACAAAAAAATTGATTTTTGTGGGAAAATTTAAACGTGTTTTAACGAAGTGAAACTTATTTATGATGAATTTCATAGCTATATTCGCATTTTTTAGTCAGTAAAGAGCGTTATAGCAATTTTTTGAAGGGAACCTTATATGGGGGATAGGGTCAATTATAAACCGATCCGCATAAAATTTGGTGGAGAGATTTTTTCTCATATGAAACTTATTTATGATGAATTTCATCGCTATACTCGTACTTATGAAGCTGTTTTTCTGGTGTCCACTTGTATGGGGGCTATCCGAAAACGTGGATCGATATTGCTCATTTTCAATACCATTCAAGACTTATTAATAGAGAATATTTATACAACATTTCAACTGTATAGCTGGTAACGTATGGTCCCTATCGTGATTTCAACAGACAGACGGACGGACATGGCCTGATCGCCTTAGAATTTAATAAGGACCCAGAATATATATATACTTTTGTGGTTTTACGACCGATATTTCTATGTACTCTATTAGATAATGAAGAAACATTTTGCGATTTAAAATTTTTTTTAAGAAATTTTTGTTGATTTTAGAAAATTTCTTGAAACATTTTTTAGTTTAAAAAAAAATGAAAATAAATAATTTAAAAATTTCTTACCTTTTGTTAGTAGTTTAGGTTGTAATCTGTAATATAAAGAAAACAAAAATTAGTTTCCCATTCATAAAATTTGGAAATTTCAAAAAAATTAGTAAATTTTTTAAACTAAACTTTATTAAGCTTTAAAAAATATTATAATAAAAAATTGTTTAATTCTTATAGTTTTGGGTAGATAATAATGTTTACTATTATTTAAAATAAAACAAATTTAGGTTTATAAAAAAATTATAATTTTTATAAAAATTTAAAAAAATATCTAAAATTAAAATTTTCATAAAACTTTGCTGAAGTTTTTAAAAATATTCTATTAAGCAATTTAAGTGATTATAATATGAAATGAAAGTACTTGAGGTCTACTTTTAGTTAAAAGAAAGTATTGTAACGATTTGAAAAAAACAAAACATTTTTGTTTATTGAAAAGAAATTACCAAAATTTAAAAAAATAATTTCTTAACAATAAAATTTTTTTATATTTTATGACTTAAAAGTGAAAGCAAAATTCTGTAAATAATCAAAATTTATTTAACTTACTAAAAACCCATTTATTAAGCATTTTATCCCTAGTGAAGGAAAAAAATTTTTAATTTCTTTTAAACTAAATTAATTAGCTAAAGTTATCCAACAATTTCTTTCAATATTCAAACACATGTTTCTCAAAAATTTTCCATTAATAAGCAAAGTTTAAGCAAACAATTATATTGCATTTGGGGTAATTAAAATAACATTAACTAAAAATTTTACTCATTGTTAATCCCTTAACGAAAAAGTTCTTATTGTTGTAGAAGTATTCCCCCAAAGAAAAACTGAATAAAACTCTTAACTGATTTAATTAAAATTTAACTGTTAAAGCACGTTTCTCCAAAATTAAACATCTTTTCATATTAAAAACAACCTCAAGCTTTAGGGTTTTATTTTTAGTTAAAAAAAAAAATATTTTTTTATTCTTTTTATTACTTAATAAACAACAAAACAAATGGCAAAAAAGAAGTGGTGTTGAGTAATAAAGTTTTAAGCAACCAAGGTATTCTCTTAACAAAGAAATACACTTGTGTTTAACAAGTTACAGAAAAAAAAACTTAACCTTTCTTTCTTATAAAGGTGTTATAAAGTCTTAATCACAAAAAAAAAAAAGCTTTATTAATGTCTTAAATAAAATTTAAATAAAAATAATTTTTTTCTTCTTCCTTTAATAACTTCATACATATTTTCCATAAATTTCTTAGTTTCTTTACAATTTTTATCTTTTCCTCTTTATTTTCACATCAAGATTAAATTTAATATTCAATTTCAAATAATTTTCAAGTATATCCGGATTCTCTACATTTTTTTCCTTATTTTCTCAAACATCCGGTAGCTGTAATACTTCTAAAGAATAAATGCAATTGTAACAATGGCACATACACACATACACCCACTCCAACAAACCATCATCGTCATTATCTTCATCATCATCATTCATAAACTGTGAGTAGTACTACCCCTTGTGTTTGAATTAACTACTATGTGAAACTACTCACCTGCATTCAAGAGCATTTATGTATGTTTATTTATATGTGTGTGTGTGTGTGTGTATATGTACACAAAAAATAAAACAACATCACTGATACAAAATTTTCCCATATATGTATGTAAACTATTTTAAAATGCATATACACGTTGCGTCTATATGTTTATAGGTGAAAATAAATATGCGAGTATCCTCGTTTGAGTTGTTGTTTTTTGCTCATAGCCGTTCGTTTTGTTTGTTTTTATTATTATTGTAAGGTTAACATAATAGAATGTTACCAGATGCTATAATATTGGAATTTTAATTAAAATATTGTTTATTGATAACAAATGCCTAGTAAACTTCAGGGAGTTTAAAAGACTACAGACCAGAATATAGTTTTTAACTATAGTTAGGATTACAGTTCACGTAGTAATAGTCTATAGTCTAGTCTATAGTCTAGTCTATAGTCTAGTCTATAGTCTAGTCTAGTCTATAGTCTAGTCTATAGTCTAGTCTAGTCTATAGTCTAGTCTATAGTCTAGTCTAGTCTAGTCTAGTCTAGTCTATAGTCTAGTCTATAGTCTAGTCTATAGTCTAGTCTATAGTCTAGTCTATAGTCTAGTCTATAGTCTAGTCTATAGTCTAGTCTATAGTCTAGTCTATAGTCTAGTCTATAGTCTAGTCTATAGTCTAGTCTATAGTCTAGTCTATAGTCTAGTCTATAGTCTAGTCTATAGTCTAGTCTATAGTCTAGTCTATAGTCTAGTCTATAGTCTAGTCTATAGTCTAGTCTATAGTCTAGTCTATAGTCTAGTCTATAGTCTAGTCTATAGTCTAGTCTATAGTCTAGTCTATAGTCTAGTCTATAGTCTAGTCTATAGTCTAGTCTATAGTCTAGTCTATAGTCTAGTCTATAGTCTAGTCTATAGTCTAGTCTATAGTCTAGTCTATAGTCTAGTCTATAGTCTAGTCTATAGTCTAGTCATAGTCTAGTCTATAGTCTAGTCTATAGTCTAGTCTATAGTCTAGTCTTAGTCTAGTCTTATGTCTAGTCTATAGTCCTAGTCTATAGTCCTAGTCTAATATTAGTCTATAGTATAGTCTATAAGTCTATCTATAGTCCTAGTCTATAGTCTAGTCATATGTCTAGTCTATAGTCTAGTCTATAGTCTAGTCTATAGTCTAGTACTATAGTCTAGTCTATAGTCTAGTCTATAGTCTATCCTATAGTCTAGTCTTAGTCTAGTCTATATTCCTAGTCTATAGTCCTAGTCGATAGTTCTAGTCTATAGTCCTAGTCTATAGTCTAGTCTATAGTCTAGTCTATAGTCTAGGCAATAGTCTAGTCTTAGTCTAGTCTATAGTCTATCTATGTCCTGATCTATATCTAGTCTATAGTCTAGTCTATAGTCTAGTCGATAGTCAGTCCTATAGTCTAGTCTATAGTCTAGTCTATAGTCTAGTCTATAGTCTAGTCTATAGTCTAGTCTATAGTCTAGTCTATAGTCTAGTCTATAGTCTAGTCTATAGTCTAGTCTATAGTCTAGTCTATAGTCTAGTCTATAGTCTAGTCTATAGTCTAGTCTATAGTCTAGTCTATAGTCTAGTCTATAGTCTAGTCTATAGTCTAGTCTATAGTCTAGTCTATAGTCTAGTCTATAGTCTAGTCTATAGTCTAGTCTATAGTCTAGTCTATAGTCTAGTCTATAGTCTAGTCTATAGTCTAGTCTATAGTCTAGTCTATAGTCTAGTCTATAGTCTAGTCTAGTCTAGTCTAGTCTAGTCTATAGTCTAGTCTATAGTCTAGTCTATAGTCTAGTCTATTGTCTTGTCTATAGTCTAGTCTATAGTCTAGTCTATAGTCTAGTCTATAGTCTAGTCTATAGTCTAGTCTATAGTCTAGTCTATAGTCTAATCTATAGTCTAATCTATAGTCTAGTCTATAGTCTAGTCTATAGTCTAATCTATAGTCTAGTCTATAGTCTATAGTCTAGTCTATAGTCTAGTCTATAGTCTAGTCTATAGTCTAGTCTATAGTCTAGTCTATAGTCTAGTCTATAGTCTAGTCTATAGTCTAGTCTATAGTCTAGTCTATAGTCTAGTCTATAGTCTAGTCTATAGTCTAGTCTATAGTCTAGTCTATAGTCTAGTCTTTAGTCTAGTCTATAGTCTAGTCTATAGTCTAGTCTATAGTCTAGTCTATAGTCTAGTCTATAGTCTAGTCTATAGTCTAGTCTATAGTCTAGTCTATAGTCTAGTCTATAGTCTAGTCTATAGTCTAGTCTATAGTCTAGTCTATAGTCTAGTCTATAGTCTAGTCTATAGTCTAGTCTATAGTCTAGTCTATAGTCTAGTCTATAGTCTAGTCTATAGTCTAGTCTATAGTATAGTCTATAGTCTAGTCTATAGTCTAGTCTATAGTCTAGTCTATAGTCTAGTCTATAGTCTAGTCTATAGTCTAGTCTATAGTCTAGTCTATTGCCTTAGTCTATTGCTAGTCTATAGTCTAGTTATAGTCTAGTCTATAGTCTAGTCTATAGTCTAGTCTATAGTCTAGTCTATAGTCTATAGTCTAGTCTATAGTCTAGTCTTATAGTCTAGTCTATAGTCTAGTATATTAGTCTAGTCTATAGTCTAGTCTATAGTCTAGTCTATAGCTCTAGTCTATCGTCTAGTCTATATATATAATCTAGTTTATAGTCTAGTCTAGATTCCTTATTTATTTTCCTTCTTTCTATTTTAGCTTCAAATTCGATCTCTAATTAAATATTAATCATTCGTACTGTAGTAGAACATATTACTTAATTTGGATTCTATTTTTTATTAAATATTAAACATACGTACCGTAGTGCTAATGTAGTACACTAAAGATAAATCAAGCTGTTTATTTCCTTAAGATTTTCCTTAAAATCTAATAAGATTTCTGTTTTTACTTTTATATTATTTTTTTAAGATTTACTTGCTCCTTAAAATCGTTAACCCATACTTTTGTTTCCCTTTAATTGTTTTAACTTTAAGCCATTTACCACATAAGTTAATTCGCCATAATTTATACATATTATTTTGTATTTAACTTCTCTATTGGTTGTCTGTTTTTAATGGCAAATAATTAAGTAAATACCGAGTAATATTTATGGATCAATAACAAAAACTAAGGGTGTTGTTTGAGTTTTTGTTTATTACTAAATAAATACTAGAAGTAAAAGAAAATCGAAAACTAAAATTTTATGGTTAAAATAAGGAATCTAAGTAGTGAACAGAGGAAGATTCAAAAAAAACTTAGTAACCTTTAAAATATTCTAATGTAAGTTTTTTGTTGCAGTAATTTGTTGCGATAAATCATTGGCAATTTGTCTTTTAGTGTTAGTTTTTGCATTATTTTGCACTACAAATAACCATATGACCTTTTTGTTACTTATATTTATAACTTGTTTTCTATTTGTAAATTCTTTTTTCAAAAATAGTAACAACACTTGACATTCTATGTGGCTGATTGCTAAACTAACTGACAGTGACATTGTAATCATTCAATATAAA